GACTCTCTTTAAAGTAGAAAAGCACAAAAAAAATCTTCCCAAAAGAAAAACATATCCTCGATTAAGTAAGGATTTCAATTGGCTACAATTGAAATCTAATTAAGATTGTTTTTTTTGCCAATGAAGTTGTGGTATTTGTAGTACTTGTAGACTTGGAGTACTTGTAGTACATGTAGTACTTGTAGTACTTGTAGTACTCGTAGTACTTGTAGTACTTGTAGTACTTGTAGTACTTGTAGTACTTGTAGTACTTGTAGTACTTGTAGTACTTGTAGTACTTGTAGTACTTGTAGTACTTGTAGTACTTGTGGTACTTGTAGTACTTGTAGTACTTGTAGTACTTGTAGTACTTGTAGTACTTGTAGTACTTGTAGTACTTGTAGTACTTGTAGTACTTGTACTTGTAGTACTTGTAGTACTTGTAGTACTTGTAGTACTTGTAGTACTTGTAGTACTTGTAGTACTTGTAGTACTTGTAGTACTTGTAGTACTTGTAGTACTTGTAGTACTTGTAGTACTTGTAGTACTTGTAGTACTTGTAGTACTTGTAGTACTTGTAGTACTTGTACTTGTAGTACTTGTAGTACTTGTAGTACTTGTAGTCCTTGTAGTACTTGTAGTACTTGTAGTACTTGCATTACTTGTAGTACTTGTAGTACTTGTAGTACTTGTAGTACTTGTAGTACTAGTGGAAAAGCTGTTCTTTTAATAAGGGTTCAATATCCTTTGGGAAAGGCTTGGAGTTTGAATTTGGCAATTTTGGAAAAGGCTTGCTTCCCTTCTGGGCTTCCAGGGGCTGCTCTGGCACAGCTTGCTGCAATAGTGAACCCAGCAAACAAACCTACTAAAGTGAAATGGAGCCTCTCCTGGTCCAGGGCCTTGGAAAATTGTGGAAAAGCTGTTCTTTAATAAGGGTTTAATAAGGGATTGGTTCTTTTGGGAAAGGCTTGGAGTTTGAATTTGGCAATTTTGGAAAAGGCTTGCTTCCCTTCTGGGCTTCCAGGGGCTGCTCTGGCACAGCTTGCTGCAATAGTGAACCCAGCAAACAAACCTACTAAAGTGAAATGGAGCCTCTCCTGGTCCAGGGCCTTGGAAAATTGTGGAAAAGCTGTTCTTTAATAAGGGTTTAATAAGGGATTGGTTCTTTTGGGAAAGGCTTGGAGTTTGAATTTGGCAATTGCCTTTGGAAAAGGCTTGCTTCCCTTCTGGGCTTTCAGGGGCTGCTCTGGCACAGCTTGCTGCAATAGTGAACCCAGCAAACAAACCTACTAAAGTGAAATGGAGCCTCTCCTGGTCCAGGGCCTTGGAAAATTGTGGAAAAGCTGTTCTTTAATAAGGGTTTAATAAGGGATTGGTTGGCTCCTTTGGGAAAGGCTTGGAGTTTGAATTTGGCAATTGCCTTTGGAAAAGGCTTGCTTCTCTTCTGGGCTTCCAGGGGCTGCTCTGGCACAGCTTGCTGCAATAGTGAACCCAGCAAACAAACCTACTAAAGTGAAATGGAGCCTCTCCTGGTCCAGGGCCTTGGAAAATTGTGGAAAAGCTGTTCTTTAATAAGGGTTTTTAATAAGGATTGGTTCTTTGGAAAGGCTTGGAGTTTGAATTGGCAATTTTTGGCAAAAGGCTTGCTTCGCCCTTCTGGGCTTCCAGGAGCTGCTCTGGCACAGCTTGCTGCAATAGTGAACCCAGCAAACAAACCTACTAAAGTGAAATGAAGCCTCTCCTGGTCCAGGGCCTTGGGAAATTGTGGAAAAGCTGTTCTTTAATAAGGGTTTAATAAGGGATTGGCTCCTTTGGGAAAGGCTTGGAGTTTGAATTTGGCAATTGCCTTTGGAAAAGGCGTGCTTCTCTTCTGGGCTTCCAGGAGCTGCTCTGGCACAGCTTGCTGCAATAGTGAACCCAGCAAACAAACCTACTAAAGTGAAATGGAGCCTCTCCTGGTCCAGGGCCTTGGAAAATTGTGGAAAAGCTGTTCTTTAATAAGGGTTTAATAAGGATTGGTTCTTTTGGGAAAGGCTTGGAGTTTGAATTTGGCAATTGCCTTTGGAAAAGGCTTGCTTCCCTTCTGGGCTTCCAGGGGCTGCTCTGGCACAGCTTGCTGCAATAGTGAACCCAGCAAACAAACCTACTAAAGTGAAATGGTGCCTCTACTGGTCCAGGGCCTTGGAAAATTGTGGGAAAGCTGTTCTTTAATAAGGGTTTAATAAGGATTGGTTCTTTGGGAAAGGCCTTGGAGTTTGAATTGCATTGCCTTTGGAAAAGGCTTGATTCCTCTTCTGGGCTTCCGGGGCGCTCTGGCACGCTTTCTGGGCATAGTGACCCAGCAAACAAACCTACTAAATGAATGGAGCCTCTCCTGGTCAGGGCCTTGGAAAATTGTTGAAAAGCTGTTCTTTAATAAGGGGTTGAATAAGGGTTTGGCTCTTGGAAAGGCTTGAGTTTTTTGTTTGAATTTGGCATTTTGGCAAAGCTTGCTTCCCTTCTGGGCTTCCAGGGGCTGCTCTGGCACAGCCTTGCTGCACTAGTGAACCCAGAACAAACCTACTAAGTGAAATGGAGCCTCTCCTGGTCCAGGGCTTGGAAAATGTGGAAAAGCTGTTCTTTAATCAGGGTTTAATAAGGGATTTGTTCTTTTGGGAAAGGCTTGGAGTTTGAATTTGGCAATTGCCTTTGGAAAAGGCTTGCTTCCCTTCTGGGCTTTCAGGGGCTGCTGTGGCACAGCTTGCTGCAATAGTGAACCCAGCAAACAAACCTACTAAAGTGAAATGGAGCCTCTCCTGGTCCAGGGCCTTGGAAAATTGTTGAAAAGCTGTTCTTTAATAAGGGTTTAATAAGGGATTGGCTCCTTTGGGAAAGGCTTGGAGTTTGAATTTGGCAATTTTGGAAAAGGCTTGCTTCCCTTCTGGGCTTCCAGGGGCTGCTCTGGCACAGCTTGCTGCAATAGTGAACCCAGCAAACAAACCTACTAAAGTGAAATGGAGCCTCTCCTGGTCCGGGGCCTTGGAAAATTGTGGAAAAGCTGTTCTTTAATAAGGGTTTAATAAGGGATTGGTTCTTTTGGGAAAGGCTTGGAGTTTGAACTTGGCAATTTTGGAAAAGGCTTGCTTCCCTTCTGGGCTTCCAGGGGCTGCTCTGGCACAGCTTGCTGCAATAGTGAACCCAGCAAACAAACCTACTAAAGTGAAATGGGGCCTCTACTGGTCCAGGGCCTTGGAAAATTGTGGAAAAACTGTTCTTTAATAAGGGTTTAATAAGGGATTGGTTCTTTTGGGAAAGGCTTGGAGTTTGAATTTGGCAATTTTGGCAAAGGCTTGCTTCTCTTCTGGGCTTCCAGGAGCTGCTCTGGCACAGCTTGCTGCAATAGTGAACCCAGCAAACAAACCTACCTTGACTGAGCTACAGCGTTTTTGAGAAAAAAATGCGTCTCAGCAATTACAGTTTTTTTTGCAAAAAAAAGGGTTCTCCCAATTTTGTTTTGCCACAAAAGCGAACCCTCCAAACAATACATGAGTTTCAGAATAATTTGGAAAAAAAAATTGCCACAATAGCGACCCTAGGTACTAATCAGGACCCAACATTACAACCTTCACTGTGAAAAATGTAAAGACTTAAATGAGAAAGAATGTAGATACATAAATTTCAATTATCATTTTGACTACTTTAAAGATAAAGAACTGACAAGAGTAGAAAAACAAATATATTTCTTTCAAACAAGGATGGAGAAATCACCTATCTATTTATCCAACACCAACCGAACAAATGTTAGGGCAATGAAGAGAGAAATAGATGTTTTGATGGACACCTATAAACTGAAGGTAGAGTTTCAAAAAGACAAGATATATCTTCAAGCGATTAAATCTTATGTAAAAAATCATTGGAAATATACTTATCACATTCTAAAGAACTTTCACGACCTCAATCTCATCATCCGTAGTAAGCGTCAAGGCTGTTGGTGGTTTCCTAATGTTGAACGGTCTTATATGTTTAGAAATAGGGAATTCAAGATAAAAGACATTTTGGAAATCTTCTTGTGTGAATACACTGAAGAACTCTTCAAAGGTTATGAGACTTACTGTAATCCAACAGAAATAAAAGAGCACCTACAAAAAGTGATGAATACTTAAAGAAAAAATACCTATATATAGTAAGAGGAAATGAGTAGAGCAAAAATTGAGGTTATAGATACAGGGAATATTGGAATATATGCTGATTTTGGTAGTGATAGTGAGGACGATGACTGGGAAAGAAAACAAATAGAAAAAGAAGATGAAGAGATTAGAGACTTTGTAAAGTGCCATCCTATGCCTTCACCAGATGATGAGGAAGGAGAAAAGTTTTGGAAGAAAGTAATTGATAGGATGAAAGAAGCAGAAGGAGTAAATGGAATGATAATATATTCATTCGTAAGATTTGATATAATGAAAAAGATGTATGAAAACCTCACTGATAAAAAAGTCATCATTGATTGTGGTAAGGAACTTAGCAGAGATGGAGAATTCAACGCTATGATTATCAACCTAACGCTTTTATCAATAGCAATGGATGAACTAAATGATACAAACAAACCTTGCTTATCACAAATGAGAGTAATTGAACACTGGTGGGATGGAATAGGAAAGTGGAAAGCGTAAATGATTAATTCATAATATCTTAACAAAACATATTATGAAGTAATCACCAACCCAAACACAAACAAAAACCCCAACAGTCTAAACAATTATCCCCCTCATCTTAAACCAAACCATCAAGTGAAAGTTAGGGGCAAAATAGTCCCAAAACCCCCACCACATAAAACATCAAAGATAAGGAAGAAACATTGAACACTAAGATAAAAACCATAACAACCAACAATGAACGCTGGAATGTCCCAGCATCCCCCTTTTTGCCATTTTTTTCCCAGCTATTTTGGGGTTCACTAGGTACCGGGGTTTTGACCCATCCCCATATATCCTGATGTGTCATATTCCAGGGCTCTTACAGAGCAAGCGTTCCATCAACCTGTCAGATGATGTGCGCGATCTGCACGGGTGCTCGCATTGTGACCCCAAACTATGTCGGCCTGTCAAGTTTCAGCCGGAACACTGCTGGTGAAATTGGAATTACCCTCTGGTAAGCATACAAAAAGCTTTTTAAAATTGCCATTTATAGTGGATTTACCCATCAAAAATAGTGATTTTCCATAGTTATGGGACAGTTTACCAGAGGGTATGTTCGATCCATGCAGTGTTTGCATGTGTTTGCCAGATTGTGAGGAGAAACTTTGATGAAGACTGCAGAGACTATACCCTCTGGTAAATAAACTTGTTGACCCTGAAAATAGCCAATTTTTAATGGAAACTAATCTTCCAACCCCTATCTGGCAGGGTCTATGTTAATTTACTGGAGGCTAATTGTTTGGGTACGCGCATAGTTCTTTTCTTGCAGCCATGCATGCGTAGACATGTACAGCATCGTGCATGCTGAATGAGATTCGTGGATGATCCCTGCCCTCAAAGTGTTGAGATGTTGAGGCTCCTTGCATTCTATGCTGCGTCGTCCTGATTTGAACCGCCAGGTGAAAGCTTGCCGTGAGGTGGATACTGCACGTCTTTGGCTTGCGAATCCTGTGCTTCCCACTTTTTGATGACGGGAAAATCATGGGAAAACTAAATCATGAAATCGGTAATGAAATTATATCGATTTCCCTCTAGTCTATACAACATACAACCGACCCAATGACTGGTTACTGTAAACTCAAACATTCCAAAAGGACGGAACTGAGACCTTCTACTTCTCCTAGCAAAAGTGTCCTGCAGCTGGATGTCACTACATGCCCCAAATGTACTTTAGACTGCATGAGTTATGGTCATGATCCCAGCATCTAGCCCAGCCAGGCAGGTCGTTGGGTGGATGAAGAAGACTTCACTCTGAAGGCACCGTAAGTGCCCTTCTTTTCTGGGATTATCCCGTCTATAAATGATGTTAAACCCATAGGATCCATGTTACCATATATAGCAGCACCATGGATCCGTCATGGGAAATGGATGATAACTATGGTTATGAACCACTTACGATTCGTGGGATGATCCTGCATGTAGAAATATTTTTTGACATTGAAAATCATTGAAACATATGATAGAAACATATAGAAACAATACTGAATATGTAGCTTGGAGATGGTTGGAGATGCTTGGAGATGCTTGGACAGTTACGTGTTTCCTCAATGTTTAAGCCCTGAGATTGTGAGCCTAGTGGGCTGATGGAGCTTTAAGGCTTTAAGGGGGGGCAATTTTGGGACTGACATAGATTGTTAACAAATGAACTGAACATCGGTATTAAATTAGTTGGTCAACAGTCAGTACTGATATATATATATATATATGTGTGTGTTATATATATATAATAAATTTAATTATATATGTATATGTTATTTTTTGTGGCACATACTATGTTAATACATGTCACGGTGCCCATGTCCAGGACGAGATTTGCGAATCCGCTTTCGCGCGGAAGCGTGGGATGCCAGGTGGCACGGGCCATGAGTTGCAACGGATGGCGGCCGTTCTAAATGGGGGGTTCCTAAAATGGGGGATCCCCAAAATGGTTGGTTTACAATGGAAAACCCTAGTGAAATGGATGATTAAGAGGTACCCCCCTTTTCAGGAAACCTCCATATAATTAGTCACAAGTCTGTAGCACAATCACACACATTGTGGTATTAGATTTGCAGATATGTTTTGTATGTTTCACTGGGATTGCAATAAGCTCCCAGAAGACAGGGGGCAGTGCAGCACAGGATCCATCATCACCATCATCATCACCATCGTCACCATGACAGCAACACTATCATCAGGACTATAGTATAACGTATAGCCAACCTATTTGATGTGTGTGTAACATTCTCATCCAATTGGCTTTGATTGATGTTTACCAGGGTTGACGTATATTCCATGAATCTTCCATGAATCTTTCCATCATATCCCCATGAAATCCCGAGAAACCCACCAGTTTTGATGATGGCTTGTGGTCATTGGTGCAGGCTACTCCCTGGCAGCTGCCGTCAAGCGTGCCCAGAGCAACGGCCCATTGCTACAGGGCATTTCAGTTTCTCAGCACCACGGGGGGCATCGCACCGTTGGAAGTCGAGGGACTGACATACGGTGGATGGGCCAGCGAAATCCGAAGCACCAGCTGAAAACGGTGGGAAACATCCCATCATATATAGCTGGTTGGTGGTTTGGAACATGAATTTTATGACTTTCCATATATTGGGAATGTCATAATCCCAACTGACGAACTCATATTTTTCAGAGGGGTGGCTCAACCACCAACCAGATAGGGTGTTAGTTTTAACCATCCAAGGTGATGCAGGATTTCGCAACCATCCACAGTATGGGGGATGTGCAAGATCCCCAAGTCACCCAAGTCTGTGGTTTGCTTGGCTGTGCCATGCGGATGGGAGCTGGGCGTTGGGGTCTCCCCCATGACTTGGGAAAGCTCCATATATAACCCTCAAGAACTTCTGGGTAGTTTCAAACGTAGAGCCAAACATGGCATCTATATGTCATGTTTCATCCTACTTGGGCTGATTTTTTACATTTTTGTTTTTCCCCACCTGCCAGGTGAGGGTTGTTAGATTTTATGTCAGTTGCCTCCTCCTGCCTCGTCCTCCTCCTCCTCCTCCTCTCCTCCTCGTCCTCCTCCTCCTCCTCCTGTCGTTGTCCTCCTCGTCCTCCTGCTCAACTGCGACTCGCGATCCACGGTGTTCTCTGTCGGACCTCAACCACGACCATCCACGCCCAGTGTTCCCTGCCGGACCTCAACCACGACCATCCACGCCCAGTGTTCCCTGCCGGACCTCAACCACGACCATCCACGCCCAGTGTTCCCTGCCGGACCTCAACCACGACCATCCACGCCCAGTGTTCCCTGCCGGACCTCAACCGCGAGTATCCATGCCAAGTGTTCCCTGCCGGACCTCAACCGCGAGTATCCACGCCAAGTGTTCCCTGCCGGACCTCATGTAGGAAGATTTGCCAGATAGAATGCCAGAAAATCTGCCAGAAGATATGCCAGATAGACATGCCAGAAGATATGCCAGATAGAATGCCAAATAAAATGCCAGATAGAATGCCAGATAGAATGCCAGAAGATATGTCAGAAGATATGCCAGATAGAATGCCAGGTAATATGCCAGAAGATATGCCAGATAGAATGCCAGATAGAATGCCAGAAGATTTGCCAGATAGAATGCCAGAAAATATGCCAGAAGATATGCCAGAATTAAGACGTTCAAAACTAGCGAGAAGCCCGAAATCAAGGATTATTTTTTTATAGTTTTTTATGTTTTTTTTTAATGAATTCAATATATGTTTTTTTTTATGAATTCAAATTATTGGTATATTTCATTTATGTTTGTTTGTTTTTTTGATTTCTGGTTTCAACATATGTGTTTGCTGCATTTTGCAACACTTGGAGGCTGGAACCTTGCCAAAAACCCCTGGAACCCATCAAAAAATCTTGAAAAAAACATAATAAAATCATAAAAAATCATAAAATTTATATAAAATTTATGATTTTTTTAATGATTTTTTTAATGATTTCCACCTGGTTTCCTGCCAAAACCTTCCAAAACTAGCAAAAACTCCTGGAATTCCATCATTTTGCTTGGTGAAACCTTGAAAAACTAAGGAAAACCATTGATTTTGCTGCATTTTGCACCACTTGGAGGCTGGAACCTTGCCAAAACCCTGGGAACCCATCAAAAAATCATTAAAAAATCACCAAAAAAAACATAAATTTTATATAAAATTTATTTTTTTAATGATTTTTTTTTGATTTTTTATGATTTCCACCTGGTTTCCTGCCAAAACCTTCCAAAACTAGCAAAAACTCCTGGAATTCCATCATTTTGCTTGGTGAAACCTTGAAAAACTAAGGAAAACCATTGATTTTGCTGCATTTTGCACCACTTGGAGGCTGGAACCTTGCCAAAACCCTCGGAACCCATCAAAAAATCAGTAAAAAAATCACAAAAAAAAACATAAATTTTATATAAAATTTATTTATTATTATTATTTTTTTTTGATTTTTTTATGATTTCCACCTGGTTTCCTGCCAAAACCTTCCAAAACTAGCAAAGACTCCTGGAATTCCATCATTTTGCTTGGTGAAACCTTGAAAAACTAAGGAAAACCATTGATTTTGCTGCATTTTGCACCACTTGGAGGCTGGAACCTTGCCAAAACCCTCGGAACCCATCAAAAAATCATTAAAAAATCACCAAAAAAAAAACATAAATTTTATATAAAATTTATTTTTTTAATGATGAATGTTTTATGATTTCCACCTGGTTTCCTGCCAAAACCTTCCAAAACTAGCAAAAACTCCTGGAATTCCATCATTTTGCTTGGTGAAACCTTGAAAAACTAAGGAAAACCATTGATTTTGCTGCATTTTGCACCACTTGGAGGCTGGAACCTTGCCAAAACCCTCGGAACCCATCAAAAAATCATTAAAACAATATAAAAAAATCATAATTTTTATATAAAATTTATGATTTTTTTATGTTTGTTTTTATGATTTCCACCTGGTTTCCTGCCAAAACCTTCCAAAACTAGCAAAAACTCCTGGAATTCCATCATTTTGCTTGGTGAAACCTTGAAAAACTAAGGAAAACCATTGATTTTGCTGCATTTTGCACCACTTGGAGGCTGGAACCTTGCCAAAACCCTCGGAACCCATCAAAAAATCATTAAAAAATCACAAAAAAAAACATAAATTGCATTCATAAAAATATCATAAATAAATCACAAAAAAAAATATTTTGAAAACATAGCTCTGTCGCTGACGCGAACGTCCTGATGCCAGAAGATATGCCAGAAGATATGCCAGAAGATATGTCAGAATATATGCCAGAAGATATGTCAGATAGAATGCCAGAAGATATGTCAGAATATATGCCAGATAGAATGCCAGATTGAATGCCAGAAGATATGCCAGATAGAATGCCAGAAGATATGCCAGATAGAATGCCAGAAGATTTGCCAGATAGAATGCCAGAAGATATGCCAGAAGATATGCCAGATCATATGCCAGAAGATATGCCAGATAGAATGCCAAATAGAATGTCAGAAGATATGTCAGATAGAATGCCAGAAGATTTGCCAGTAAGAAAATGTATAAATGTCATGGTGGGGATCACACGAAGTAAAGTAATTTTTTTCCATTGAAGTTTTTGGGACATGTGGAAACCCCCAGAATAGGTTGTACCAAATGCATCCAAAAACTATTTTTTGGTAGGACTGCAGCGCCGGCCATTTTGTGTCTAAGCTGTTGCGTGAGTTGTCAACTTGTCAGTTTTATTCTCTTGAAACATGATAGAAATATGGTGTGTGTCTGCAAACAGGGTACCAGAATATCCACTGTATATCCACAGTTTAATCCTCATGGTTCCATCTTTTCCCATTAACATGGGCGTATATTTGGGCTGAATCCCTGTTTTTTGTCTTGACAGATGGCATCCCAGGTCTATGTCTTCCCATCCGTGGGAGATAAGCGGGACCTACCAATCCTGGTCGCTGCTGCCGGTGGCATGTGGTCTCTCGGAGGTGGAACCCAACGTTAGTAGGTTCCTTCCCCGGGATATCTTTGGTCTTGTCTTTGTTAAACATAATTCTGGGTAAATTATAACGACCTCACTGCGACCTCACTGGAAATCATGGTTAATAAGGGGAATCATCCCAAAATGGCCTTAATTCAGGTTAGTGAAATATTATATTTTACCCAGATAATTACCCTCTGGTTACGACTAACATAGCCATGGTATAGATGGGCCATTTATAGATGGTTTACCAGATGGTACTGGATGATTGCTGGTGATCTTTGTTTTGGGGGGTTACCTCTCTCGCTGACTTTCGAAGATGGCATGGCTGTCATTCTGTTGTCATTTGGGGATGGGTCAAAACCCTGGTACCTAGTGAACCCCAAGTCATAGCTGGGTTAAAATGGATGTTCATCCCACTAAAAATGGTATTAATAGGTATTGACCCATACCCATTTGTGGCCTGTTTCGAAATTTCTCCGCCTGCGGGCTTAAGATTGGACCAGAGAAGATCAAGACCGCTCTGAATGACCATTGAATCACCATTTCGTACCACCAGTTGCCACCATCTTGACTTGCTAAATTATTCAGCTACTTTCCGCTATCGTACCCTAGCAGCCCTAGCAATCAGCATCTTCGAACCTTTTGAATACGAAATCATCTATACCCTCTGGTAAATTAACATAGCTAGGGACAATCACCATTTTTACTCGGTATATCAACTATTTTCATGGCCATTTTCGCTGTATGTAACAAATGACCAGAGGGTAGATGGGATTCACCGTAAAACGCTGCCAAGGTTGAAACGTTTTCCCCTTCAGCCAGAGGATCCCTCGGTACGGGAGCGAAAAGTTTTGGATGATCCTTCGAGTCGTAGCAGGTGAAAATCGTTGTGTAAACGGTTCCCAGAGGGGAACATATATTCTTCGTAATTGGGATTTATGGGTCCACATTTGGTGTATGCAAGTACGAAAACTCAGTTTTTTTTTATGCCCAAACTTTTTTTTTTAAATGGGTGGTCTCCATTCTATACCCAAAAATCGGTGAGCGAACCCAACACTGAGTAAGATTCTCATCAACTCATCCAACTTCTTTAACCCCTTGCAATTCCACTTGCCATTCCACGTGGAATTCCACTTTCGAAGCAGTTTCATTTATGTTAAAGTGGTTAGATTGCAATCTCACCATTAATCCACTTCACATAATTATGGAACATTACCATTTTATAGCTGGGTAAATCATCTATAAATGTTTAATTGCATACTTCCACTGTTTCATTGATGTGCTTTATTCACTGATGGTTCATTGATTCACTTCCACATAATTCCACCAATATGTCAATGCTAATAGATGGTTAATCCACCAATAATCCACAAATTAATGATGTTCATGCAGTGATGGTAAACACACATCCATTAATCCACCAATAATCTACTAATAGATGGTTAATCCACCATGAAAATTCAGGTAAAAATCCAATAATCCATGATGTTTAGCATGTGTGTTTCAGCACGATGCAGCACGGGCCGCAGTTTCGTCGCTGATCGTCGTTTAGGTCCTGCTTCTAGCTGAACGATCCGTGAACAGCGCGACTCGGCACGGCTGGAATGCGCGAATCGAAGTACAGGGTCACTAGCCGTGCGTAAAAGACAGTTGTATATGGAATGAATATAATATATATATAGAATATATACAATATGTTTATTATATACATCATATATAATTTAATATGTATATGTATTATATTATATAATTTATATATATATATTAGTAAAATATAATATATATATATAATATATATATAATACATATATATAATATAATATAATATATATAATATATATAATATATAATATATATATATTATATAATATATATATTATAATATATATATATATTATATAATATATATATAGTATATTATCATTGGTGTTATTGATATGTATTATTATTACTATTGTTTTTTCAGAGAGGTTATTCACACCCAAGCTGTATTTAGGTGACCTTCTGTAGGTTGATAGAGTACGCTCCCCGCAAGCCTGGCAAGTCATGGATTAACGGCCCATCTGCCTCAACATCCTTTCATGACCCACACCATCCATTACAGGATATCCATAGTTTTGGCGCATATTTCTACAAGTCGCAACAAACAACAGGTGATTTTGAGGGATGAATGGCGAGGAAATCTACCCGCACGGCATTATGGAGCCTCCATAGGTCGCTTTTCTGCTGTCAGAGTCGACTGAGGAACGTGAGCGGAAACGCCGAAAGACTTTTGAGGTCTACGATGTCGAATTGCTTCGCGAGGTCCGCGGGATGCGGTGACATCGGTGACATTTTGAGTCTAAAAAGTTATGGCCGTTTTTGGTTAAATGGAGATAGAATGGGAATATAGCTCTAAATTACTGGGGATATATCTCACCTACATTCTTAACCTGCTGGTTGTTGGTCAATGGGTACAGTATATAATTGGAGGTGCCTTAATGGAATAGGGACCAACAGGCTAAGGACGGATTTTCCATATAGTTATATTATAACTCGATAAAATAATTAATCAATCATGTGTCAACCATATCATATCCCCACATCTTTGATGGTTAATCCCTTTCTAAACACCCAGAAAGATGGTCAAAACCGATTAATTGAGTCAACATGGAGAATTTAGATCCCAACCTGTCTTTTGCAGTGAGTTGCCAGTGTGTTTACAGTGTTCTACTTGATCCTTGACAGCCTGCTTAGGTTCTTTAGGTTGACTACTCCAAAAAGACTGATTAATACTATCTGGATCTATCTGGAATGTTAAAAAAAATACTTTACTTCGTGTGATCCCCACCATGACATTTATACATTTTCTTACTGGCAAATCTTCTGGCATTCTATCTGACATATCTTCTGACATTCTATTTGGCATTCTATCTGGCATATCTTCTGGCATATGATCTGGCATATCTTCTGGCATTCTATCTGGCAAATCTTCTGGCATTCTATCTGGCATATCTTCTGGCACTCTATCTGACATATCTTCTGGCATTTAATCTGGCATATCTTCTATCTTCTGGCATATCTTCTGGCATATATTCTGACATCTTCTATCTATCTGGCATATCTTCTGGCATATCTTCTGGCATATCTTCTGGCATATCTTCTATCTGGCATTCTATCTGGCATATCTTCTGGCATATCTTCTGGCAAATCTTCTGGCATTCTATCTGGCATATCTTCTGGCATATGTTCTGGCATATCTTCTGGCATTCTATCTGGCATTCTATCTGGCATTCTATCTGGCATATCTTCTGGAATATCTTCTGGCATATCTATCTGGCATATCTTCTGGCTTCTATTTTCTGGCATTCTATTCTATCTGGCATAATATCTTCTGGCACTCTATTCTTCTGACATTTTATCTTCCTACACTCGCGTTGAGGTCCGGCAGGGAACACTGGGCGTGGATGGTCGTGGTTGAGGTCCGGCAGGGAACACTGGGCGTGGATGGCGTGGTGGAGGTCCGGCAGGGCTGGGCGTGGATGGTGGTTGAGGTCCGGCAGGGAACACTGGGCGTGGATGGTCGTGGTTGAGGTCCGACAGCGAACACTGTGGATCGCGAGTCGCAGTTGAGCAGGAGGACGAGGAGGACAACGAGAGGAGGAGGACAACGAGAGGAGGAGGACAACGAGAGGAGGAGGAGAGGAGGAGGAGGAGGCAGGAGGAGGAGGAGGAGGAGGACCAGGCAGGCAGGTGGGGAAAAACACACACTCAACAGATATCATTGTGCCTAGTTTCTCCTTTTTTTTTGCAGCCCTTCTTTTCAGCCGATCTGCTCCCTCCGCATTCGGCTCGTCTCAGTGGCATGTTTTTTTAGGCGGCCTGTACCCAAGAGCTGCGGAAGTCTGCTTATCGACTTCAGTGTCTTGGGCTGGCATTGGTAAAGGATCCATGTATGCCATATATGGTAACATTTACCATCAATATACCCCAAATGTTGGTATATATATATACCATACATGGATCCTATGGCATTGGTCAAGTTCGGAGAAGTTCGATTTCGATGTTTGTTTACCAAAATCCTACCAATTTTTTGGGATGTAAAATGAATGTGTGCCATTCTGATGTTGAAGATGATAAACTGATAAACCATGAAATTTGGCCGTACACTGTTTTCAGACAAACTAAACATGTATGTTTTTGGTAAACTGTCTTTGGATGTTTTGTATGTTTCCCATGTTGGACCTTTTGGTTAAACCTTTTCGGTGGTTGACCACTGACCAAAAAAAGGCCTAGGTGAATTTAAGGGACCGTGTCGATCCTGTAGTTGGGCAGAGAGTGATTGATAGCCTATAGTAACGTCATATGGCTATGAATCAATACCTATTAATACCATTTTTAGTGGGATGAACATCCATTTACCAGCTATTTTGATGTTCACTAGGTACCAGGGTTTTGACCCATCCCCATATGCACCATTGCGATCCAAAGACCGTCACTCTGTCACCACTGGACCAAGAATTCAACCACAATTCAACCACCAAGACCAGCCATCGGAACAGCAACAGTCAGCCACAGGAGCAAGCAAAAAAGTAAAAGAAGAGAAGAGGGAGGATACTAGCAGCAACCCATAACCACACAATGATAGAACATTCGCGCAGTTTTGTTGCTGGTTATGATCCAGATGTTGATGGGTCGCACCAGGAATGTTGAACATGACGGTAGAACTAGCAGTTTTATCCATTTTTGTGATGGTCAAACCATGTCAAACCACTGTTTCTGAAGGTTGAACTGTTGAACCACCATTTTTTGTTCGAAGAAGACGGCAGATTCGTACGGATTCGTCGCGTACGTGTCTCCATGTGTCTCCGCAGGTGATCGCCGACGTTCAATGAATCAGTGAGTCCCGTTGTGAAGTTTTTATGCATGGCGGGGTCAATACGCAGAATGTAACTAAGTAACTAGAATACATGTATATCATAATGGTTCACAATATTCTAGTGAATATTCTTGTCATAATGGTTCACATTATCATCATGACAAGATGCAGTGATTTATTTCTTTGGGGATGCACATTTGGGAAGTCCAGAAAATTGGTTGGACCAGCACCACCATCCCAGTACACATCTCCCTGATTGGCAAGTTTCGTAGGGAAACCAATGGAAAACGTGGTCTGTTAGATCCCTTTAATGGTGTCCCACTTTTGACCCTGAGCCATGTGAAAAATTGTGCACTGAAATTCATAATTTGCACTTTCCAGTTGGTGTCCGGTTGTAGATTCACAGCGACACAAGACCAGGCACAGAGAATGACAGAAATGTTTGGTGAAAAATGACTGAGCCAGATTGGCTTCTTTCTTTGGGTCCAGAAAGAGTGTCGGTGTCTTACCTGCGAACTCCTGGTAAAGCCAAAAGTGTGGCAGAAATGACTTCGTTTCATGGCTGGAAGGTGCCTAGAATCGTGCAAGTCACAGTTTTTTGACCCGACAAAAAGCCCGGCAACAGATGCGCCAAAAGTTCAAAAGCCAACAAGGGCATCAGTTCGGAGTGACCTGTCACAAGAGTTTGGCCAGCGATGATATTTTATATACTGCTATACGCTGTGTGTATTATGTATATATGATTACATAATATTATATATGCATGGAATATCTATGAATATGTTATATGTTTTTTAGTTTCAACTTGAAACATCAGGATGATGATCCCACTTGACATGTTTCACATAGGTTGAAACCATGGGCTAAACCCAATAGTAAACCATCCCATTCACCACCCAATTTTCTGGTCATTTTACATCATTCCAGCCATAGGGGTATATCATGGGATATCATGGGTATATATCCAATAATATCCAATATATATATAATTATATATATATATCCATTTTCATGGACCATGGCTTGAATTGCCCACTCTCGTCGCCACCAGCATCCGCGCCGGACAAGTCGGCGCGATCGTATAAGAGTTTGTTGGATAGTTCAATTGTCCATGGTTCAACCGTTTTCAAACCACATGGTTGTTGGTACCAACGTTTTGAAGATCCTACTGGTATTCATCGAAATACACCTCTTCGCATACTTTAATTGCTTCCCGCATTGTGGTATCGTGCTGGTCACTGCAACTTGGGTCACACCCGCTGGCAGCCATGTTGTGTTGTGACACCACCTACCAGCCTTTGATCGGCAAGGGCAATAGTCGAAACCTTGCAGGTGATGGGGAGGATCTGGGTATTACTACGGAATGCTGATATACCCTTTGGTTATTTATTAATTATAACCATTATAGCTCTGGAAAATGGCGCATTTATAGATGATTTATGATGTACCTGTATATATATATATATCAAAACAAGGTGATTTCCATATAATAATATAACATTATTTATATATATAATATTTATATATTAAGTATTGCATTTTTGATATGAATACCGTGTCGATGGATAGAAATGATTGTTTGATGGTCACGGGTTTTAGTGACCCGTGACCCATTACGACTTTTGTTATTTTTTCACCAACGAGCCTTGCCCTGGGCCCACAGCAGCCTCATGATGAAGTGGTGTCCCCCATCAACCCTGTTATGTAAGTTCTAAACCAACTTACTCGTAGGTCGTAGCTATCTTTGCATGCGTTTTTATGATCCAACTCCATTCCTCCATCCCTTTCCCCATCCCCATCCCTATCCGATTGCTCGTCCAGGTGCAGCATCGGACGGAAGTCCTGTGGCCAAGATCAGACGAGCTGCCACCAACGCGGATATCGTGCAGTTTACGACGGCGCCCCTCGGAGGATGGTCATCAATCCATGAACAGTTAATGCACGTACCAATTACCCTCTGGTTATTTAACATAGCCATGGAAAATCACCATTTTTAATAGGTAAACCATCTATAAATGGACCATTTTCCATGGCTATGTTAAATAACCAGATGGTATAGGAGATTATAAGGGTTCCCATTATGGCATGAATGGCCATCACTCATGTACCATGTTTTGACCATAACACATTTTTTGTGCGCATATGTTGAGTATCTCACTATTGATTGTCGGTCCTATATTTAAGATTACATAATGTTTTGTATAAACTAAGATTCATTATTCCGTTCTCACAAATATGCATACCCAATTCTGATCCATACCCATCGATGGGGTACCTGCAAATGGAGCCCCTCATTTTCCCCGTGCGAGAATTGGTGATTCCGCTTGAAGATTGATTTGCCATGGGCAAAGGTATAACGTCAAGCCCGGATTCATAAATACCATAGATCGTGCTTGATTCTTGATTCAAAGGGGGTTGCAAAAAGTTACTAAAATGTACCCTCTGGTAAACTAACATAGCTATTGAAAATGGCCATAGAAATAGTGGATTTACCCATTAAAAATGGTGATTTTCCATAGCTATGTTAAATTACCAGAGGGTATACCTCGCAATGGGCAACAACCGTGTTCTTCCCTGAGATCAGGCTGGGCCTGCAGCCTGACTGGTGGATATCTACAGTTCCCCATGGCCTATAGATGAGAATTTGCCCAAATGCACATCCACATTCTGGGATTCTTAGAATATAGACCCAAAAACCCATGGTTTATCAGTTCAGAAGTCATTTTTCCCACTTAACTAAAAGAGTAGATCCACCATAAACCCATTCAAATCTACCCTCTGGTTATTTGACATAGCCATGGAAAATGGCCTATTTATAGATGGTTTACCTATTAAAAATGGTGATTTTCCATGGCAAACGGTTAAATAACCAGATGGTATATGGCAAGAAATTGAGGATCTACTACGTGGAGGAAGATGAAGAGAAGCTGGTGGTGGATGTGATGCGCTTGGGATCCATGAAAGGTACCGTGAAAGTGAGGTACTACACTGATGCTTGGATCGAGGCCGAAACGATGCCGTTTGGGTTATGTTTATCAAGTCCTGGCACTCGTTAGTAAGGTGAATCATCCTCAACGATGTTTATATTAGTATATATGAGATTATATGAGTATATATATATATATATGTAATACACACATGTCCATTTACCCATAGAAAATCATATAGACATTGATTTTTTTGCACTGTAACTTTAGTACCTTCACGAATCTTTATTGGTACTTTGGAGTGTCAAATGTGTGATGATCATTCCACCCGGGAAGGGTTTTTGCTGCAAATGGTTGATGAATGCTCCAACTGGATCTGGCAAATCTGAGAAAACTGCCAAGTTGTACCCTCTGGTTATGTCAAAATAGCTATTGAAAATGGCCATGTTTCATGGGAAAATCCACTATTTCTATGGCCATGTTCAATAGCTATTTTGACATAGCCAGAGGGTAAATGGGTCCAAAGAGTTCACGGCAAGTAACAAGGTGCAGAGATATTCCACTCCAAAGATGGAAAAGACCGACCCCAAACGCAGCCATTTTGGAGGGGAAAGGAACATGCTAGCATAAAATATATACATTGATACATTTTACATATACACATACATATATAATTCAAATATTTATATATGATATGCATATTGCATATGCACGCAACGCAGAAAGCAAATGGATACTTGGCTTTGCTTGGATATAATTTGCCCCACAGCATTGTTTGCTTTTATGCCCATAGAAATGATCCGTCGTCATAGCCTTGAAGATACTGGACTTCAATTAGCCAACACGTTGGATGTGCATTCCACGAAGCCCTGGAAATTCCGGTTGTTTGTGTCAGACTCCCCGAAACACCCAATTTAACATAGATGGGAATGCTCCATTAGAGCCAACCTGAAATCCCCAATTGATGGATCCTCATCAAAGCTTTATCCTAAATTCCTACAGTCCCTCCCATATCAGCCTGTTGAGCGAGGAAGATGGGTCGGCGAAAAAGGGAATTTCCTATGAAGAGACCTTTGGTGAGCTGATGTTTGAGGAAAATGAGCAGCTGGGTGTTTTGTTTGGTTTGTGATGTCAAGTCATAAATCGGATAAGTAGATTGATCAATCATGTGGTTTCCTCGGGATTTTGGGACATGTTGAACATGTTGGGACATGTTGGGACAGAAGCCGCCACATTTTTTTGTTGGGCTAAGACGATGCCTGAAATCGCCCGAGGTATCGCCAGAGCATTGAAATCAGGACTATTGCCAATGCATACTGGAGCGCAACGATGGAGTTCAAGGCCTAAAACATCCTAAAACTGTGTCTGTTGAAGCAATGCAAAAGGCAACCGGCAAAAAGGCAACCGGGGGCTGAATAATACTAATCGGGATACAGCAACCGGGGGCTGAATGATACTATATATAATATTTATATTATACTATATATTATACTATATACTATACTATATATTATCCTATATATTATATGGTCATTTGCTTGAGAAGCCCGGTGACACAAGCCATCAGACAAATTCTGGATGGTGCGCCGCCAATCTCCATTTGAGTGTGCAACGGAGCCATGCTCGAAACCTGAACCGAGAACATCCCATGGGTTCACAGGCATTCAAAGGTTGACTATCTTGAATTCTACATATGAATATATATATATAACTATACATTATACATTACAATTACATACTATAGATTGTATGTATATATATACACATAATATCACTACACAAACGTATGATATTTGATATATATGATACATATCTATATACTATAATTAGATAGTGTGTATATATATGATATTATTATTACTATTATTGTTATTACTATGATATATCTCCAATGTATCATATATAATGGATTGGCCAAGTCATGTATCACTACTGGTATCATATATCATCAAACATCACCAGATTGGATACATAAATATTATATATATATATATATATATCACATATATATATATATATATTATATGTGATACATATACCACACAGATATATGATACATATACCACACATACTACATGGATTTATCAAACATAATGGTATCATATATCATATATCATCAAACATATATCATCTATATCACTACTATACTCATTTATGATATATCCGTGGTATGGATTGGCCAACCAAGTTTTTTGATATCGCGAGAGGTTCACTTGGCCGATCCGGACTCGTGCAACCTCGGTGCCTTGGAGCCTAGGAAAACCCATCGGAAACTGGCGATTTAACCCTCACAAAATGGTGATGTCCATGGGATTTAACCATCAAAAATGGTGATTTAACCATCAAAAATGGCGATTTCACCATCAAACATGGCGATTTCACCATCAAACATGGCGATTTACCGCGGGATTTCATTCAATGGATTGGTTTTGTTGGGAAAATCTTAACCGGAAACCATCGATTTTCCCATTAAACCATGGGGCTTTCCGGTTAAAATTTTCCCTTAAACCAATCCATTGATTCATGGGTGTTTTTTTAATGTTTTTGTAAATCTCCAATTTTGGATGGTTGGATTATACTATCTATTCAAGAGATGCTGAACATGGCAGCCTTGGGGCCGCTTTATTACTGCTTTTACGACATTATAGTATACGGATGTCCCCAGAAATATACCAAAATTGGGATATATTCTGATGAATTTGGGTTAAATTGGTGATTTTGTTTTGAAGATCTAGAATTGGATGATGTTTATAAACAACATTGGTATATTGGTTGTCCCGCAAAGTGCATCTTGAAGTCGACCAATTTTTTTCTGCTCCTCTGGCGAGGACACCACTTGCACAGCTGTCGGGTGAAGATCATCGATACGGACACCTTTCCGTCCAACAAGTATCGCGAACATCTTTTGATCCATGGATACAACCAGGTTTTGTGGAGCTGAATCAATCTGGGTTTCAACAAAAATGTGTTGCGTTTTTCCCAGGTTTTTTTTTAACCACCAGAAAAAAAATGGGATCATTGGCTATTGGGGTTCATGAATCCTGGGTCTTTAACCACGGACATCTACGGACCGGCTGATGGTGGGATCGCTGCCGGGCCGCCATGGGATGTTGATCCCGTGATCCCTACGTCTACGGAGCGTCAATGCGAATCAGGGGAATCTGTATCAGTGGTTGGTTTGCCTGTCCCATTTTGGGAATATTGGACATCACCTGAAAAAGTAGCCATGGCATTGACCATATACCTAATGGTTGGGTGATGTTCAATGGGGACATTTAATGACCCATGTGTATCTTCAATTTGACGTGGCAGTTGGTAGATGTTTTTTCTTCACCTTTGGTCTGAACAGGTCTCTGATGTTGGGTGGTGGGCATGGAGCACAGTGGTGTCAAACGATCCAGGATGTCACCCAAAAGAGATGGGGTTATTGGGTTACCCCCCAAAAAAATGTTTGTTTTATTTGGGTTTTAAGTAGCCTTTGGGAATTTAACATAGCTATGATATGCTATTAGATTGCTATGGTAATAGTTGATGTCCTTATGGTGATTGTCCATGGCCGTCCATGGCTATGTTACTTTGCCCCTCCAGCACTCATGGGATGATCCAAAATCAGGAAAGGTGAACAGTTGGTGGGTTTCACCCATAGACAGAAAACATGGTGTAGATATAGAATATTAGAATGAATGAATAGTATAGATGATGTTTCTATATATGATATGATATATATATATACACATACTATTATACACTATACAGTATATCATAGTATATCTATGATTTCCCAACTGGAAACATCAAACACGACGGACTCGTCAATTCAGGAAAGGTGAAGAGGGCTTGGAGAGCATCAGCGATTTGCCATGGAACAAGTGTGGGTGTTTTCCATGCTTCACCCAAAAGATGCCAACGTTTCAAATTGGCATTTGATGGGCAAAAGAGGCATTCAAAAACCAGCAAAATCTTAAAAATAATGGTTACCCTCTGGTAAATTAACATAGACCCTGGCAGTCATCGGGGTTGGAAGACTAGTTTCCATTAAAAATAGGTGATTTTCAGGGTCAACAAGTTTATTTACCAGAGGGTAATTCATGTGATTTCACCAACAAGAGCTGACTAGTTGTGATCCTTCCACTCTAAAAATGGCATGACCAATGTTGTGGCGTTTTGCGCACCGAGATTCACGCTGTGATGGGTTGAACTCGTCGTGGCAGAGGTTCTTAGACAAACGCAAACAGTACAGCTGTTCCAAATTCTACTAGGGTTTGATGTTTGAAGGATCAATATATGGATCAATATATGGATCAATTTCAGCTATGTTCTTCGTTGTGAAGTTCTTCCGTCGTTCGGTTGACGGGATGGTTAGTTAAAATGGGTCCTGCGACAGACCGACCTCGCTGCGATCCTAGGTGCATCTGGTCTCTTCACAGAATACTTCAAGCTGCTTTTTGGTCGCACTATCCCATAGGATCCATGGTGCTGGAATATTTACCAACATTTACCCCATAGATGACCCAAATGTAGGTAAATATACCATACATGGATCCTATGGGTATGCCTGGTCTCTTTGGGGGATCCACATTGTTTGTCCAGATGTGGCACTTTGTGTAAAAATTCAGCTACCTAGAGTCTCCTAGAGGTCAGTGATGATAAGAAAGTTGCAGTTCTTCGAAATTCGAGACCTCTGCAGAAAGCTTTTCCTGCAATTTTTGCAGGTCAAACGACCGGTCGACTTCTGAACTGCTCTGACTTAGTGATGTGAACGCAACATGTTTCTTCGGATGCGCGGAAGTGCCGAGTCGCAGGTGTTTTCTGCAAGTGCCGAGTATTTCCTGGCGGACGGTGATGTGTCTCCTCTTCGACCAGCTCAAGTGGTTTGTCTTAAGATATGGCACATGGTACCCCAAAAGATGACGTGGTTGATGGCATGGTTATGTGGTTATAGCTGTTATCAACCCCAGTAATATGATGTAATATATGGATTTTCCAGTAAAATATGGTTTCCCTCAGTAATATGTCATTGTTTTTCGGTGATTTGGGGTACCCTCCAGTAAATTAACAGTTCGACCCTGGCAGACAGGGGTTGAAAGACTAGTTTCCACTAAAAAATTGGTGTTTTCAGGGTCAACAAGTTAATTTACCAGAGGGTAATTCATGTGATTTCACCAACAAGGGCTGACTAGTTGTGATCCTTCCACTCTAAAAATTGGTGTTTTCAGGGTCAACAAGTTAATTTACCAGAGGGTATACACCATTTCACCACCCATTTGGATGCAGAAATGGGAGATCTCACGGAGACTTAGACGCTCGCCAGGAATGTCTACCGCTACGTCACGTTGCTTGGACGTTGAGTCGTGACCTTGACGAAATTGCCGGCCGTTGTTCCCGGATCAAACGGAATAATGTGGGTAAAACACATGTCATAAACCACCCATTTGGGAATGGTATATACCACCTATAAACATGGTGATTTGGGGGATGATTTATGATTGTTTTACCATGTTTTACCCACATTATGACAGAATTGAGTCAGGAATGAAAGTTATACCAATGTTATATACACACTTTCTTCTTGTGATGGGGTGGTTTTCTGTTTGATGATTGTGAAGAAGATACTTGGAGCTATGATGAATGTCATCATGAAATGTCGTGACACTTTCTATGCATCAATGGTAGTGAGACTAAGACCCTTGGGCCTTCCCAGGTTGTGTTTAAACATCTACATTGTAGATGTCCTTTGCAACCTCAACAAAGACACCGAAGAGCAACTGCTACGTCCCACGAGGGAAGGGACAGCTGTGGTGATCGGGCTGTTGTATGTTGCACCGATGCTGATTCTCCATCTTTGGGATATCTTGACACTCGACAGCAGCGCAGACATGTGACACTAAGATACACTAAAACCCAAAAGTCATTAATTGAAAATAGCACAATAAATTTAAATATTTATGTATATCACGAATGGTTTGGTGGTCTTGAGTTTGTTTCAGGTATATTATATTACCCATAGGATCCATGGGGATCCCATCAATATGTCCCCAATGTTAGCATATATACCATCCATGGATCCTATGGGTATATTAAAATATGGTCATGTGATGACCTGTGCTGTTCCATATTACTGGGCACCTGGGCAGATCTGGGCAGCCTGGGTATGGAACGCCAAGGAAAGCCAAGATGGATCTGGTGGGGCATCTCAGGCTGTTTCTTGGCTGCGTAAAACACCCAAAAACGTCATGAAAGGTTTGGATGGCATTGGGGTTGATTCGTGGTTGTCAAGGTTGTGATCTCCACATAGTGATCAACATGATCAACCCAGGTATTTGCAGGCGAGTCTCTTCCGAAGATATCTCAACTACAGCATCTGGGCATATCTGGGCGTTTTTTTGTGTGACATGATGTGACATGCTTGCCTCCCCGCCCTGCGTTTTGCTGTGAATGATTGATCACAGAGTGCAGTTTGAAGGGGTTCCCAAGTAGTAAAATTGAGGATTTTCGAACTGCTCCAAAGATTGCACTCTGAGGGATTTGCTTCAAAGGACAACTCCAAAGAAGGCATGCATCAGAAATGGGCACAAACCTCGGAGAAAAAAAACATAAAGAACAACTTATCATATCCTATGTCTCAACCAATCATGGACCTCCATTGACTTGTTTTTTGGGGGGGTTGGTATAGTGAGTTGGATGCCAAAGCAGAAGAGCAAAAGCAGAAGAGCAATGTGCAGACAGCATTGAAGAAATTGATTGTGTTTACTGTGTTTAATGGTTTTGCCAATGAAGAGGATGCTTTGCCCAAAGTAGCGCATTTAGCGCACTCCCCTGATCCCCTGTTCTGAAATAAAAGGGGGGCCATGCCGCATGCCCATTTTCCAGGTCGTGGCTCAAATAACCAGATTGAAGATTTTTGGAAGTGGCAGAATGTGGCAGGTCAGCCTTGGCTGGGGTTCGAACTATGCAACCTCCCAAACAGTGGCAAAACGGAATGATCTTTGGTGTTTTGTTTTACAGATCATCCCCAAAAAGTCAGCTGATGATGTGATACCCATATCCATACCCATACTATCCCATACTGTTGTTCAGCTAATGATCAACATGATTATCTGATTATTTGTCATTTCTCAAGTTTTGCACGTCAAGGCGAAGAGAGTCGCGCTTCGGTGCCTCCTGCAGATATGCAACATGCGTTGTCACTGGGGTGTAAAGGTGCCGCGAATGGCTATATGTTTCCTGGCTGATCTTTTGCTGAAGGGTTTGAATTGGAGATTGATCATGATCTACGATGATTTACCCCATGGACCAATGGAGTTTCCTATGATGTTCCGTTGTTTTGACACTTCAAAGACAACGAAAAGAGAGGTTTTTCTTGGTCAGCTGATGTCCTATCAAGGAAGGTGCTGCACTTGTTTCAAAAAATGGGACAGCTACTTGTCTGCATGGGATGGAAGCCGGCCTATGTGCATAGCTGGAGAGGAGGTTCGTGGTTTGTTCAGGTCAGTTTGGTTGTATGGTCATTGAGCAGAAAAAATACGGTGATATATGGTGAAACACGAGAGACTGTTGTACTAAATTGATCACAGCATTCATTTCCAGCAATTTTGCATCATGATTCTCGTAGAATATTTCAATATATACTTAGTATTCTTTTACATTTTACATAGCGTGCAGATGTACGTATACAATCGTTTTTTTGTTGTAAGATGTTGTAAGTATACCAGAGAAATGCATACATACCATATACATATGTATATATTGTCATTTTTTAAAACATATGAAACATTTCCTGTTGAAATCGTGCGCGCGCAGGCGCGCGAGCATTTAACACATGCGCGCGCAAGGTGCGCGAGCAACGACAGGCGTGCGCGCGAGACGCGCGAGCAAATAGAGGCGCGCGCGCGCGAGACACGCGAGCAAATAGAGGCGCGCGCGCGCGAGGTGCGCGAGCAAGGCCAAGATGTGCGCGCGTGTTCGCGCGCGCACCCGTCCGACACGCGCGCGCGCAAATAAGCTCCCCAAAAGTGGATTTGGTGAGCTTATTTGCGATTTGGAGAGCTTATTTGCGCGCGCGGAGAGCTTATTTGCGCGCGTGCGCGTGTCGGACGGGTGCGCGCGCGAACACGCGCGCACATCTTGGCCTTGCTCGCGCACCTCGCGCGCGCGCGCCTCTATTTGCTCGCGCGTCTCGCGCGCGCGCCTGTCGTTGCTCGCGCACCTCGCGCGCGCACGTGTTAAATGCTCGCGCGCTCGCGCTGCGCACCCCGCAGCTGGTGAGGCACCATATATGAATTCATATGTTTTGAATCAAGCCAATGTATATACATATTCATATACATATGCTACAACATGGTTAATACCAACATGGAATATTGTGGATCAACCAATGGTTAACTGTTGGTGTTTGGGCCTGGCGGTTTCATCGACCACCACCTCAAAACGCCATCCGTTGAGGTTTCCTAAGTTGTGGGGGATGCCAAAGTCACCATGACTTTCAATGCTAAAATATACCATCTGATTATTTAACATAGCCATGGAAAATCACCATGTTTAAGTTCGGTAAACCATCTATTTCGATTAGGGCCATCGAAATCCCATGGCTATGTTAGTCATAACCAGAGGGTATACTAAGTCATGGTCATATCATGGTCATATCATGTCATATCCATGACTTGGACATGATTTGGGGCCCCACTGGGTTGGTAAAGTCCCATATGAATTACTGGTATTACGGACTTGTTCAATTGAAGCTTCAGCAACTGAGGCTGGCGGTGTTTACCTGTTTCACCTTGTTGGAAAATCCCGATGCCATCTATTTGCTGATGGCCATGCCTTCCTTGATGTTTCTCTTCCTGACGTTCCAGGGCTGCAGCAAAGTCACAGGCACAGTATGGCACAGTTGGCAGATCAACTGTGGTGGTATTTTCGTGGGTTTGTAATAGGATACCAGCCTGATACCAGCCAATGTTGATGGTTAGTCATCATGTTTCAAATGTTCCATGACTGTCAAAGTCTGACTTGTCCTTTTCAATAAACGGACATGTTACATATATCATCATATGGGTATGTCTGAAAATGGGGTATACCCCCAATTATAGCCATTTAGTAGGGATAATGATCATTAACCATTGGGTGTAGGGGTACACTATTTTCAGACAAACCCATATCTCAATCCGGGGAAAAAAAAACATGGTATTTCTCCCATTTTTAGATGCACCTGACCTGATCTTTCCTCGAGACCTGACCTAACTTCTGCTGGAATCCGCAGATCTGATGATGCATTGCCACTTCTATAGGTGATTTGTGAATAGACATACATACACAATCACATACATACATATATATATATACATATTACACACATGTACATTATATATATACATATACATACAACCATTTATACGTATAATTTATACATACATATACATATATATATAGTTACATATATCATATTGTATACATAGGTCTACATCTGTGGTAAATGATACCATCCTATCCTATCCAAATCCCCACCGCTCGCCCCAGGTGCAAGTCCTGCTGCTCGTCAGACTCTGAAGATCGGAAGGACACCGAGGCGCAGGTCCTGTCGCTGGCTGCGGAGGTCTGTCAGCGCTATCGTCTCATTGCGGAGCCTGGGGCCATGCGAAATATCTTAAAGGGCGCCGAATTAGGGGATCTAGATGGTTGGGAGATATAAATGACTATTGAGGTATTAGTATGATATTATATTATATATATATATATATCATGATATATCTAGATTTGATGAATCTTAGATGGTTTATAGATATCGTGATATATGTATATAGTTAGTGATAATTACTATGTTATATGTGTAGATAAATAGTTAAAGATAATGGTGTGTATGTCAGGGGGTGTAGGATATATCCATAGTATCATAGTACATTACTCTAGGTTAAATAAACTTAGCCCTAGAAAACGAATATGTGCAAAACAAAGTCATGTTAGGATAACTTGGTTTTTGAAGCATTTTGAAGCATTTTGACACAGGTCTATGTTAATATTCTTAATTACAACGAAATCTTAGACAAAACCTCTAAAAGTCTTCATTGACAGCATTTACAACAAACATCTCAAAAACCTATGTTAGGATACCTTTTTGAACCAACCACCACACATGTGCTATGTTAGTACACCAAAGTTCCGTGCAGAACAAAGTCATGTTAGGATAATTTGGTTTTTGAAGCATTTTGACGCAGGTCTATGTTAATTGCCTGATTCTCCAACGGAATCTGAGACAAAATCTCTAAAGGTCTTCATTGCTATGTTAGTTTATAAATGGGCCATTTTCCACAAATCCATGGATTTACCCTCTGGTATATTAACATAGACCCTGGCAGACAGGGGTTGGAAGATTCATGTCCATTAAAAAATAGTGATTTTCAGGGTCTAGGTTAGTTTACTAGGGGGTACCATTTGGTTATGACTAACATAGCCATGGAAAATCCCTTATAAATGGAGGTTTTAATGGGAAAATCATCTATAAATGGGCAATTTTCCACAAATCCATGGATTTACCCTCTGGTATATTAACATAGACCCTGGCAGACAGGGGTTGGAAGATTCATGTCCATTAAAAAATAGTGATTTTCAGGGTCTATGTTAGTTTACTAGGGGGGTACCATCTGGTTATGACTAACATAGCCATGGAAAATCCCTTATAAATGGAGGTTTTAATGGGAAAATCATCTATAAATGGGCCATTTTCCACAAATCCATGGATTTACCCTCTGGTATATTAACATAGACCCTGGCAGACAGGGGTTGGAAGATTCATGTCCATTAAAAAATATGATTTTCAGGGTCTATGTTAGTTTACTAGGGGGGTACCATCTGGTTATGACTAACATAGCCATGGAAAATCCCTTATAAATGGAGGTTTTAATGGGAAAATCATCTATAAATGGGCCATTTTCCACAAATCCATGGATTTACCCTCTGGTATATTAACATAGACCCTGGCAGACAGGGGCTGGAAGATTCATGTCCATTAAAAAATGGTGATTTTCAGGGTCTATGTTAGTTTACTAGGGGGGTACCATCTGGTTATGACTAACATAGCCATGGAAAATCCCTTATAAATGGAGGTTTTAATGGGAAAATCATCTATAAATGGGCAATTTTCCACAAATCCATGGATTTACCCTCTGGTATATTAACATAGACCCTGGCAGACAGGGGTTGGAAGATTCATGTCCATTAAAAAATAGTGATTTTCAGGGTCTATGTTAGTTTACTAGGGGGTACCATCTGGTTATGACTAACATAGCCATGGAAAATCCCTTATAAATGGAGGTTTTAATGGGAAAATCATCTATAAATGTGCCATTTTCCACAAATCCATGGATTTACCCTCTGGTATATTAACATAGACCCTGGCAGACAGGTGCTGGAAGATTCATGTCCATTAAAAAATGGTGATTTTCAGGGTCTATGTTAGTTTACTAGGGGGTACCATCTGGTTATGACTAACATAGCCATGGAAAATCCCTTATAAATGGAGGTTTTAATGGGAAAATCATCTATAAATATGCCATTTTCCACAAATCCATGGATTTACCTTCTGGTATATTAACATAGACCCTGGCAGACAGGGGTTGGAAGATTCATGTCCATTTAAAAAAAAGTGATTTTCATGGTCTATGTTAGTTTACTAGGGGGTACCATCTGGTTATGACTAACATAGCCATGGAAAATCCCTTATAAATGAAGGGTTTAATGGGAAAATCATCTATAAATGTGCCATTTTCCACAAATCCATGGATTTACCATCTGGTATATTAACATAGACCCTGGCAGACAGGGGTTGGAAGATTCATGTCCATTAAAAAATAATGATTTTCAGGGTCTATGTTAGTTTACTAGGGGGTACCATCTGGTTATGACTAACATAGCCATGGAAAATCCCTTATAAATGGAGGTTTTAATGGGAAAATCATCTATAAATGGACCATTTTCCACAAATCCATGGATTTACCCTCTGGTATATTAACATAGACCCTGGCAGACAGGGGTTGGAAGATTCATGTCCATTAAACAATAGTGATTTTCAGGGTCTATGTTAGTTTACTAGGGGGGTACCATCTGGTTATGACTAACATAGCCATGGAAAATCCCTTATAAATGGAGGTTTTAATGGGAAAATCATCTATAAATGGGTCATTTTCCATAAATCCATGGATTGACCCTCTGGTATATTAACATAGACCCTGGCAGACAGGTGCTGGAAGATTCATGTCCATTAAAAAATAGTGATTTTCATGGTCTATGTTAGTTTACTAGGGGGTACCATCTGGTTATGACTAACATAGCCATGGAAAATCCCTTATAAATCGAGGGTTTAATGGGAAAATCATCTATAAATGTGCCATTTTCCACAAATCCATGGATTTACCCTCTGGTATATCAACATAGACCCTGGCAGACAGGGGTTGGAAGATTCATGTCCATTAAAAAAAAAGTGATTTTCAGGGTCTATGTTAGTTTACTAGGGGGTACCATCTGGTTATGACTAACATAGCCATGGAAAATCCCTTATAAATCGAGGTTTTAATGTGAAAATCATCTATAAATGGGCAATTTTCCACAAATCCATGGATTGACCGTACCATCTGGTTATGACTAACATAGCCATGGAAAATCCCTTATAAATGGAGTTTTAATGGGAAAATCATCTATAAATGTGCCATTTTCCATAAATCCATGGATTTACCCTCTGGTATATTAACATAGACCCTGGCAGACAGGGGTTGGAAGATTCATGTCCATTAAAAAATAATGATTTTCAGGGTCTATGTTAGTTTACTAGGGGGTACCATCTGGTTATGACTAACATAGCCATGGAAAATCCCTTATAAATGGAGGTTTTAATGGGAAAATCATCTATAAATGGGCCATTTTCCACAAATCCATGGATTTACCCTCTGGTATATTAACATAGACCCTGGCAGACAGGGGTTGGAAGATTCATGTCCATTAAAAAATATTGATTTTCAGGGTCTATGTTAGTTTACTAGGGGGGTAACATCTGGTTATGACTAACATAGCCATGGAAAATCCCTTATAAATGGAGGTTTTAATGGGAAAATCATCTATAAATGGGCAATTTTCCACAAATCCATGGATTGACCCTCTGGTATATCAACATAGACCCTGGCAGACAGGGGTTGGAAGATTCATGTCCATTAAAAAATATGATTTTCAGGGTCTATGTTAGTTTACTAGGGGGTACCATCTGGTTATGACTAACATAGCCATGGAAAATCCCTTATAAATGGAGGGTTTAATGGGAAAATCATCTATAAATGGGCCATTTTCCACAAATCCATGGATTGACCCTCTGGTATATTAACATAGACCCTGGCAGACAGGGGCTGGAAGATTCATGTCCATTAAAAAATTGATTTTCATGGTCTATGTTAGTTTACTAGGGGGTACCATCTGGTTATGACTAACATAGCCATGGAAAATCCCTTATAAATGGAGGTTTTAATGGGAAAATCATCTATAAATGTGCCATTTTCCACAAATCCATGGATTGACCATAGTGGTTTCCAGGGTCTATGTTAGTTTACTAGGGGGGTACCATCTGGTTATGACTAACATAGCCATGGAAAATCCGTTATAAATGGAAGTTTTAATGGGAAAATCATCTATAAATGGGCCATTTTCAAAAAATCCATGGATTTACCCTCTGGTATATTAACATAGACCCTGGCAGACAGGTGCTGGAAGATTCATGTCCATCAAAAAATAGTGATTTTCAGGGCCTATGTTAGTTTACTAGGGGGTACCATCTGGTTATGGCTAACATAGCCATGGAAAATCCCTTATAAATGGAGGTTTTAATGGGAAAATCATCTATAAATATGCCATTTTCCACAAATCCATGGATTGACCCTCTGGTATATTAACATAGACCCTGGCAGACAGGGGTTGGAAGATTCATGTCCATTAAAAAAAAAGTGATTTTCAGGGTCTATGTTAGTTTACTAGGGGGTACCATCTGGTTATGACTAACATAGCCATGGAAAATCCGTTATAAATGGAGGTTTTAATGGGAAAATCATCTATAAATGGGCCATTTTCCACAAATCCATGGATTTACCATCTGGTATATTAACATAGACCCTGGCAGACAGGGGTTGGAAGATTCATGTCCATTAAAAAATAATGATTTCCAGGGTCTATGTTAGTTTACTAGGGGGTACCATCTGGTTATGACTAACATAGCCATGGAAAATCCCTTATAAATGGAGGTTTTAATGGGAAAATCATCTATAAATGGACCATTTTCCACAAATCCATGGATTTACCCTCTGGTATATTAACATAGACCCTGGCAGACAGGGGTTGGAAGATTCATGTCCATTAAACAATAGTGATTTTCAGGGTCTATGTTAGTTTACTGGGGGGGTACCATCTGGTTATGACTAACATAGCCATGGAAAATCCCTTATAAATGGAGTTTTTAATGGGAAAATCATCTATAAATGGGTCATTTTCCACAAATCCATGGATTGACCCTCTGGTATATTAACATAGACCCTGGCAGACAGGTGCTGGAAGATTCATGTCCATTAAAAAATAATGATTTTCATGGTCTAT